CTGTGCTGGGGAAGCGCCGGCTGGGGGCGCAGGGTCTGGGGGATGCCCGGCAAACCCTGAAGCCGGTAGCACTGGGGCAGCCCTTTCCCCCTGGCTGTGAGTGGGAGGGAGGAGGGGGCGGAGTTAGGGTGGAGAAGGGGCGGAGTTGGGGCGGGGCTTGGGGTGAGGAAAGGGGCGGGGCCAGGGCCCGTGGAGGGTCCTCTTTTTTTATTTATGAGATATGGTAACCCTAGATAACACCCTTCATCAGAAATTTTCTTTGAAACACTTCCGTTTTAAAAAACGAGATTAGAGCGTGTTGGGGATGTTTTGATTTTCAAAGCATTCAAAATTCCATAAAAATTTTGATTTTTGATTTTTTTTTAAATCATGTTTTTTGTTTGTTTTAAACTATTTCTTTGACCAGGTTGGTTTTTAAGCTGATGGCACCCAGGCTTTGAGAGTCCATTATATATTATTGTCATGGTCTCTTGGGGTGGTCTCTTGAGGGGGCTCAGCTTCTTCTGACTGACCGACCTTACTTTGCTTCTCAGTCAGGTCAGATCCTGGACCCTCACCTTCAATTAGGTCTATCAGTCCTTCAATTTTAGGACTTGCTGTCTCCTTACTTTTTCTTGAAGGCAGCCTGGCACAGGACTGTCACCCCTTTGCTATCCCAGGGCTTTCTGCCTCCCCTTCTGGCTCTGTACTCTCCCCTTTATAGCAGGCTTTGTTTTCCCTACTGGTTGCAGCTGTGGGTGCCTGCCTCCACGATTGGCAGCTGCATGGTGTGTGTGTGTGAGTTTATAGACACATTACAATTATATAGTGTATTTTTCTTGGATAGAGCAAGGAACATGAAGGTTAAAACAGACCTAGATAGAGTACTCACCAAAGGTGCTAGTATAGGCAAGAATATAGTGATGGTAGCTGGATTGCTTGCCACTTCTGTTACTGAGGTGACAATCAGAGATGATATTAGGATAATCGACCACATTGGTAATGATCCCAGAGGGGTTAATTTGCTTCCTATCCAAGCTGATAGTTTTGAAACCTAAATAAGGAATAGGATTATACAATTACTGAAGGAAAAATTTAAACAACACAGTATTAATGAAGTTTATTCAAGTATTAATATGTGGCATATTTGTATAGTTAGAGATAACACAGATCATAAAATATACTTTATCCTACCATGTGTTTTTAATGCAGTGCTCTCATATCAAGAGAATTCTTTCCTGGGTGTTTGGCTGGTAAGTCTTGCCCACATGCTCAGGGTTTAGCTGATCGCCATATTTGGGGTCGGGAAGGAATTTTCCTCTAGGGCAGATTGGCAGAGGCCCTTGGAGTTTTTCGCCTTCCTCTGCAGCGTGGGGCATGGGTCACTTGCTGGAGGATTCTCTGCACCTTGACGTCTTTAAACCATGATTTGAGGACTTCAATGGCTCAGACATAGGTTAGGGGTTTGTTGCAGGAGTGGGTGGGTGAGATTCTGTGGCCTGCATTGTGCAGGAGGTCAGACTAGATGATCATAATGGTCCCTTCTGACCTTAAAGTCTATGACTCTATGACTCTAACCTCAAATGTTTTTAGTCTGCTCAAAAAAGAACTAGATAAATTCAAGGAGGATAGGTCAATCAATGGCTATTAGCCAGGATGGGCAGGGATGGTGTCCCAAGCCTCTGTTTGCTAGAAGCTGGGAGTGAGTGGCAGGGGATGGATCACTTGGTGATTGCCTGTTCTGTTCATTCCCTCTGGGGCACCTGGCATTGGCCGCTGTCAGAAGACAGGATACTGGGCTAGACGAACCTTGGTCTGACCCAATATGGCCGTTCTTATGTTCTTATGTTACTTGACAACCTTTAGGGCCAAATCTTGCTCACCTTAGTTATGGGATAAAACAGTGGTGCTCTACATGGGAGCTCCACCCAGGCAGAATAAAGCTGGAAGAATTTTTTTGGCAAATAGTTTATTCACTGAAAAATGCAGTTTTGGGCAACCTGACACTATCTGTGAATTTGTTTTCACTGGATAGTTTCAACTGAGAAACCTTTAAATTTTGGGGGCTGGAGTCAGAGCTCTCATAACTTTTAGCCTGGTGGTTGGGGCACTCAGCCAGGCTCAGTTCTCCTCACTACCTGATGTTGAGAAGAGATTTAAACTCAGCTCTAGCCTATACTATAGGGAGATTGCCTTAGACACTGGGATGGGTACCTCTCAGTATCTCCAGTTGAAGCTGTTCTACTGTGAATAATTAACTAACCAACCAGTGGAGGACTTGAACTTGGGGCTCTCTCATCCTAGATGAGTACCCTAACATCCACATAGTTCCAGAGTCTGTCTCACTCACAGTTTCTTGCCAAACCTAGGATGTGGGAGACCAAAATTTAAATCTGCTTTCAGGAGTGTTATTTGTTTGTATAGTTTCTAGTACAATGGAATTCTAAATCCCTCTTTGGATCCCTAACATCTACCACAGTAATAATAACAAGTAATACAAACTGCGACAGGATTAAAAGATTTTGAAATGACTTCACTGACCGAAATATTTGTATTTTTTCTCCAATTCATTGCTTGCCTTTAGATTTTTTTTTTCAACAGCAGAAAAATACAAACTGTTCAGATAACAAAGGATTTGGATTAACTGGGAGTCATTTATATACAGTGAAATTCAGCAAGTAAGTCTTTATGTCAAACTTCTGTGCACAAAGACTTAGATGCTGCTAGCTTCAGGCATATAATTTATGAAGTCTCTTAATTGAGGCTTGGATCTGTTTTTTTAGTGTTCTATCTGAATATTCTTGCATCTTCTCTGCATTTCCATGTTCCAGGTTTAATTGTTAGCAAGACACACTGGTAAAATGACAGAATAACCTTGAATATGCCGGTAGTCTGTGTTTTTCTCAGCACAGGTCATGTTAATTGTTCAGAATCTTGTAGAAATTGCATTACCTCACAGCCCTCCGCCAGTGCAAAACCTCCACCAACAAGAATCGTTATCTCCCAGGGCATGCATGACTGAAATTCCTTCCAAGTAATCAGAGGAGTGTAATCAAAAATAGCTAGGGGGAAAAAAAAGTTTTAAAAAGACTTCTCGATATAACTTCTCTCAAGATATGCAAGTGAAATATTTAAAGGCAAATCTTTATCATCAAATTAAGAAGGCTTTTCTTCTGATCATCTTGAACTTCCTGGGGAAGACTCTTTGCAGCTCTGAATTGTCATTACATCATTGACTTCAGTGGAGCCATGATACTTCATACCAGCTGAGAAGCTGCCCCTTTATGAAAGATAGCTATTGATGGGACTAATGCAGCAAGATGGCTACTCTATTTAAATAGATTGCAATGTAAATTCTGGGCTTCACTGAGGGCAGGTCTTCACTTAGGGGGGCAGGGGTCGATTTAAGATACGCAAATTCAGCTACGCGAATAGCGTAGCTGAATTCGACATATCGGAGCCGACTTACCCCGCTGTGAGGACGGCGGCAAAATCGACCTCCGCGGCTCCCCGTCGACGGCGCTTACTCCCACCTCCACTGGTGGAGTAAGAGCGTCGATTCGGGGATCGATTGTCGCGTCCCAACGAGACGCGATAATTCGATCCCTGAGAGATCGATTTCTACCCACCAATTCAGGCGGGTAGTGTAGACCTAGCCTGAGACACATTTACGGTCTAATCTTGTATTCCTTGTTCATCTAAAAAATTCACTGATTTCAGTAGGAGTTTTGAGTATATACAGAATTCAAGCTCAGGTCATATTCTAATCTAGGTAAATTACTTTCTAAGACAAGAGAAAGGAATGAAAATAGACTCATTCACCATTTTATATTTTCCTAAGGTTAATCTAAATAAGAGCTAAAAATATTTTGTTAAAAAACAAACCCTAGTGTCTGATCCAAAGCCCACTGAAGTCAATACAAAGGTTTCCACTGAATTCAATGGGCTTTGGATCATGTGACTACTTACAGTGAACTTCTGCTGCCCTTACATTGAGTCTGTTCTTACTCTGCAAGTACTACCACTTGCTTTCCTTGGCAAGGAATTAATTTCCTGCTAAGGTACTACTCATTGTGATGGTGGCAGAATTAGTCCCCTAGTGAGAAAATAAACCCCCCCGCAAAAAATCCCACACTTGTTACCTAGAAAAACGTAATATATATATATATATACACAATTCTGATTCTCATTAATGCTATAGACACTTTACACAACTCTACCACTGTAAGGGGACCTTAAAGCAAGTGTAAGTTTCAAGGCCCCTTTCCATTTATGCCCCTTTTAAAACCTCTTTCCAAAGCCAAAGCTATTTAAAGCCACCTTATTGTAAATGAGAATCCGGCCCATATATGCACATATCAGTGAACCCTTTTTTTGAACACATGTAGCTAGTTTATGTACCATAGCAACAATAATATGTAAAGTAACATTCTGTGTAACATGTACTTTGAGTTAATCTGGATTTGTGTGAGTGAAACTGAACAAAATCTGGGCCAAAGAATTTTAACAATTAAATGTACTCCTCGCCATTTATCCAGCTATTTTTAATTTGTTCTATTTGGTCTTCACTCAGTTTGGACACTGAAATGAAGCTCAGTATCACTTTCTCGTCATAGGTCAACTTTTCTTTCTGAAGGCTTGTCTCCACTAGCAGGGAGATTGACACTGCTGCAATCGATGCAACGGTTGTCAATTTACCGGGTCTAGTGAAGACACGCTAAATCGACATCAGAGTGCTCGCCAGTCAACTCTGGTATTCCAGCTCCCCGAGAAGAGTAAGGGAAGTTGACCAGATTGCGTCTCCCATCAATGCAGCACAGTGAAGACACCGAGGTAAGTCAACCTACACTATGTCAACTCCAGATACATTATTCACATAGATAAAGTAGCATAATTTATGTTGAATTACACCGGTAGTGAAGTTGAGCCCTAGATCTCAGGCGCTAACTCAACACTCTTGTGTTCTGGTTTCCAGCACTGCAGGGAGATGTTTAAATGGGAACAAAAACTATTTGAATTGATATCATGAACATTTTTCTATTGCTATCAGGTTTTTCTAACAACCTCTATCCCCTATCCACTTTTCTTTTTATTTAACAAAATCTACTGTACCTGTTGGGCTTAAATACCTGATAGAGTTCCTAGAACAAACACTGAATTATATTCACATAAGGTCACTACAATCCTTGCTCTAGCAAAGGTCCAATAAAAATATACCCAACTGTTTTCTCCATTTGAAGTCCTAGACAAAGTTTTTGCTGGAATAATGAAGAAGAGGAGGCCAATTATTAAGGCAGCTGTTGAATCTGTAGCAAAACCTGGGTATCTAAGGAGAGATTAAATGTATTTTTAGTAAACAAAGAATAAAGGATATACAGCTCCAGGAAAAATAATATTCTGTAGAAATATTATACAAGAAGAATATTATAAATACTAAACCTTTTGATCTGCATGTGACTGTACAGTAATTTGTCGCATTCTATCAAGTTTATAAATCTGCAGTTATATGGTACTTAAAGGTTCCCATTTTCACAACAACAACAAAAAAGGCCAGATTCTTGGGTGTAATATAGTTGCTTTGCACTTCTCCCAGTGGTAGAATCTAGCAATAGAGCCAATGTAACTCGTCCCAGGAAGATCATTCCTGCCCAAAGTGGGATCCTCTCATGATCTAGAGATGACATGGAGCCTTTTATGGCAACCTCTCTCTGCTGCCACCGTAGGAGGCATAACCATAGAGTCTGGGGTGCCCCTATGCTGCACTGATCTCTTGGTGCATTTTCAGCTCCTTGGAACTGTTTGAAAGTGGTGCAAATTAGAGTAGCCCTTACGCTGCTCTGTTTACTACTGGGGATCAGCTCAGCACAGAGCAGGCCCTGGATCAGAGGAATGAAAAGGTGAGCTTTATGCCACCTTAATACACAAATACTCACCCAATTTATGCTGTGTGCTTCTCAGGCATAGGCAAGGATCTAGTCCATTGTGTCCAATTCTGCACTTCTTACTCAGCCAAAACTCCCATTAAGTAGAATGAGAATTTTGCTTGAGCAAGAAGGATCCAAGCCAATGTCTTGTTAGTATTTATTTATTTTTTTTGCAAAGGACCCCTGGGATCTCCTTATTTTTGGATTGATACAGAGTATTTTTCCTTCCAGCATCATGCCACATTTCCACATATTTTTGGTTCTATCCTGGTTTAATATGTTCCAGGAATAATTTGACCCTTAGGTTTTACATTATGTTAGCTATTTCCTTGCAATAAACCATCACACTTTGTTACACTTTATAACATTGTATAATCCAACAGGGCAACCTAGGATATCCTAAATCTATTAACAATGCTGAGTGAAACTCAAAGATATTTTAATATGAATATTGCACTGAAACCACCTCATAGTTCTTCTAAAACTAATTTTGTCTCACAAACTCTCATGTGAAAGGAACATTGCTAGCTAGCTTCTTAAGGATGTAAAAAGAGGAATGGTCTGGGAGTGTGCCTTAAAGTATTTTTGTTCTGTTGTCTGCTGCCACGGAAAAGATTTGTTTTTGCTGGCTATCATTTTTAGAAATATTTGGGACACATTAATGCCCCTGCTACTGCAATACCCTTATGGCTGCATGTACAATACTCATGTGACAATATTGCTCAACCTTCCCACTTCATCAGTTCCTAGTATAGCCACATGCTCCCTGGTATTCCAAGCAGACATGTATAGGAGGATCCTATTCTGTACTCTGGTATGAACTCACTGGGAGTTGTACTGGAATTTGTAGGATTTGGCTTGTAATGATATAATGCCTGCAACTACTATGTCTAGGCAGCAGACACATCTGTGAACAATATTGAGGTTACAGAATTAGATTTTCTGATGCAATTCCATTATTCCTGGAAACTCTGCTCTTGGGACAATACTGCATACACAGAAATGGATTCAAAAGGAGAACAATACCTGAACTGGAATTAAAAAATGGCAGCTGTCACTGCTGTTTGGCATGATGGGCACGGGTGTCTCTCTAACTGTAGTTTTCCAAAGACCACTGTGTATTGAAATATATGATTTTTAAGCACCTATTTGCCTGACTTGTGATACATGGATACAAAATATGTATCAGCATGAGGTGCTATAAAATTAATTGCCCCATATATCAGCTAGGTGCTGTCCTGTAAGGAAATCTCACAATGGGCTGAATTGAAGCAATCCTGGGAAATAGGCCCAGTGGCAACCTAATGTGAATGATTCTATTCAGATTCTTGTCCCACATTCATCACCGTGTAGCTGAACACCTTCCAGAAGTGCATGTAGATGGCCTACTATTAGAATTGAATAAAAAAATATAATCAATATATGTCATCCTTGCACGCACTCCACCGTACATTATTATATTAAAATTAAAGTAATTCAACCCCCTGAACAAATTCTTAACTCCCTTCTGAAACTGCAATGTACAAAACTTGGTCAAAACTGTATTTCTGATAAATCTGAGGAGGACTGTAAGAATAAGAATATAACTGCTCATTTTTATGGAAATTATTATACAGTCAATTAATTATAACAAGAAGCATACTGAATTGAGGAACATGTTGTTTCTTATGCTTTCATTGTAAAGCAGTACAGGCTTCGTATTTCAACAGGTTAGGTCAGCTATCATATAATACAACATGATTTAGCCTAATGTGAAATGAGACATGTTTGCAGTCTATTCCAAATGAAAACATTAAAGGACATCCACAAGTAACACATGTGTGCAGTACCTGTGAATAGTATAGCTACACTCCACTCATCTCTTTTTAAGATCAAGATAGTTTGATAAACAATAAACAGAGAAGATAATATAGGAACATATCAGTGTGTGCACCTTTAAAAAGTTGTTTACAATTGCTTTTTTAGTATTGGGGTAGGTCATTAAGTGGTGCTATATGAACATTAAATGCTATTTTAAAGCAGGTAGGCATGTTCAAGTCAGCTTGATTGCTTGATTGGTTGATTGCTTGATTAGCTCAGCACTTTAAAATCTTCTTTAAAAAGATGTTGCTTCATGAAAGAGCAAGCTCTTCTATTGTTGCGGTTGGGAGAGATTTTTTTTGAATTTTTGCTATTGTTTGAGGAAATAGGTTTAAAAGATAAAAAACAATTTTAAAATTCCAAGATGCGTTATACTGATCATTATAAACTGATGATCTTTCTTTGGGTGTCACAAAATAACTCTACTTAACACCAGGGCCGGCTCCAGGGTTTTGGCCGCCCCAAGCAGCCAAAACAAAAAAAAACAAACAAAAAAAACCCCCAAATCGCGATCTAAAAAAAGCCGCGATCGCGATCTGCGGCGGGCATTCGGCGGGGGGGTCTTCTCCCCCCGGCGGGGCGGGGGGCCAGTCGCCGAAATGGCGCCGCCTA